ATGCACTTTATGACAAACCTCTGTTTATTCACACGTAGATTTTCAGTAAACAACATGTTGGTGTTAAAACCTTATTCTGGAAAGATTTGCACAGCAGGTCTGAAAGGGACTGGGAAGAGCAGAGAATTTTCCAGCAGTATAAGTATCTTTCTTCTGGTAAGACAAGTTAAGCAAATGTCTTTTCAGAAACTTGCTGAAACCTGAGGGTGTGGAGTCTCAGAGGGAGCAGAGGAAAGGGGCAAGGCTGTGTTAGCTTAACCTACAGCAAGCTTTGCCCTCCCACGAAGACTTGAACTGAAAATCCCTGCCTGAGCAGTGCTGGTTTGGTGGGTGTGTGAGGGCAGGAGGAGAGACCAGCATGGAGAAGAACTGAAGCATGGAGTTGAGTATTGTGCCAGAGTAAGACGTTCCCCACTAGCAGCATTTCTTTTTAAAAGGGTTTCTCGAGGTTGTTCTGAGATCTTATGCAAAATGCTGTGTCTTAGAAGGAGAAATCTAAGTGGGGAGGTTGTGCTGCTGCCCAGGCTGAACTAAGGAGAGTGGGAGAGTGATGTTGAAAGATCCTCAGTTCAGACTAGGGCTGCCAACTGTTACCTGTTGGCAGTTCTGAAGCTGCCAGCAGTTAGGATCCTACGTTACAGATTAGTGAATTACTACTGTACTTAGCTTTCAAGTTCACCAGTTTGCTCCCTGTTCTGAAGCAGATGTCTTTGAAAGCTGCCACCTATGACCAGCAGTTGGCTGCCTGTTTAGGTGAGAAGAGCAGATTATTGGAGCCGCAGCAGTGCTTGGACGCTGCTCACCTAGGGCTGTGTGCTTGCCACAGTCTGAAGATCCCAAAATAACAGCTGAGAGTGAAAACTGCAAGATGATGCAAAGACGATTCAGCTAATCGGATAACAAAGGAGACAGCAACAAAAATATTAAGACTTGATTTCATAGAGCAGCAGCTCTCACCCCCTTTTGATCTGCAGACCTTTACAAATCTTCCAGTGCAGATACGGGGGCACAGATGAATTTAATCCTGCTGCTCTCAGCTATTTTTCATGGATTGCTTAGTTTAAGATGGTGGTTTTCAGCCTTGGTCTGTAGAGCATTGCTGTTGGTAACAATAGATGTCTTTATTGAGTCTGCTAATCTGCTCAGCTGAAGTATTCTCTATCCTCTTTGCTTTTTGCCTTTTAATGTCTTTTCCTTACCTTTCTGAATTGCAGATTCTCTTTGGGATGGCGAAGAGTTGCTCTTACCAATCTTTGTTCCTTGCAAAAGAAGCAAAATCTTTATGTACCTTCAGCCTACGACTGTTTCTGCCAGTGAGCTGGGTGCCTAATCTGCTACAAAACTGACATTGTTGAGCACGTTGTGGTATTTTTTTTTTTTTAACTATAAGAAATCTTTGTAGTACCTGTGTGCTTTTCTCCTGTGAGTGAGATCAGATCTGTCCATCAGGCTTTTAGCACAGAGCTTAGCAGCAATTGCATGTGAAAATCTCAATCAGTAGGCATTGAACTAGCAGCGACCTGTTATGCCTTGGTGGAAGTGAGTGAGCTGAATGAGGAGGGGAGTAAAGGTGCTTATGGAAGTTCAGTCAATTCTCCTTCACTAATCAGACTTCAGCTTTAGGTATACATCTGTCTATTCTGTTCAGCAGTGATGCTTGTATTTAACCTAGCTCATCTTTTCCCAATTATGCTGGAGAAAAATTCATACAAATGCTTTCCCTGCCCTGAAGCTGGCTCTCTTCCCTTGTTGTCATTTCCACCTGGAGTTCCAGGAGTTGCAGGGATGAGAATCTGTCTTTAGGGTAAAGCTGTAGAAGCAAAGCTGGGCAGAATGAAGACAAATGGAGCCATTCTTGTGGAGAGCTAGATACACAGCTTTTTCTTTTTTCACTATGAACAGCAATGCCAGGCTACTTTGTCATCCTGGTTTATAACTGCATTCAGACAGCAAAAGAGAAATGTTCTCTTTCCCCACAGTTATTTGGCAGAAAGCTCGCTTTTGTCTAAAATGCTCCTTAAGCACTGTGCAAAACATTCAATCCTAAACCAAATACCAGTTTGAGTTGTGCTTTTTCTTTCTTATTCTCAAATAGGAGGGTTTGGGTCAGTTTCATGCTGAAAAAAAAAAAAAAAAAAAGGCACCATCCCAAAAGATATTATCTGCTCTGTTCTGGAGGGCTTTTTAGCACAATGCAGTTCCTTTATGGTAAGAAATGGCAAAGGTTGCCCGATTGCTGGTCAGCTGTCAGGGTGAGTGTAATGATATGTGATGGAAATGGTATCTTCTGCAGCAGATCTGCTTGTGCAGAGCTAAACTCCTCAGCACACTTCTTCATTTAATCCTGTGAGATGTGAAAAAGGTGCTTTGGAATAACTTGTCAGTTGGATCAAGTCTCAGGAGTCAAGCTTAATCTACCATGGAAACTTCAGGGACAGCCAGAATCTCTGCAGGTATTTGGAGGGTGTAACGTGGTGGTGTTCTTTCCTGGCTGAGCACAGAGCTGTCTTCAGGTGAATGCTTCAGGCTTTGCCACTGTTGTGGCAGCCAGACCCAGCTGAAATCACCGAATATCCCAGTGTCCATGGTGCATTTTAACCCAAATACCTCTGTTGTTGGAAATAGGGATAGTTTTACTGTATTCCTTTTCATTTAAAATTTTCTAAATGCACTTTACCACTTCACTGTGACCTAGAGCTCAGGTTTGAAGTGCTGTTCCTGAAGCAAGCGTTGCACTTGGCTCACCAGTGTGACTTCAGCATCCAAGGAAGCTCCACAAGTTGTTGGTGAGAGCAGGTTGCTTCCAGCAGTAGACATCCCACAAATTTATGTGTATTCTTTAAGAAAAGTACCCGGATTTTCTGCTAACTGCAGAAATTCATGATGGTTGCCTTCACCATCTGTTATTTGTTCTATAAGCAGCCTTCATTCAAAAGTAACCTTTAAGCAAACATCAAGATTGAGTAATTTAGCTGTTCCAATGTGACATGCACATCTACACTCTCCTCTTTAATTATGTTTGACACACGTGCTTATATTTGACTATTAGTGAGAGGGAGAGTCATTCCTGTCTCTAGCCTGCAGACATTCACAACGCGGAGAAGACAACGTTTGGAGCCAGAAGTGAAAAGCTGGCTCTGGTTATTGGCTCCACTTTTTTGGGAAGTGGCCCCACAGGCTCTTGGAAGTACGATTTTTGCTCACAAGGCAATTGCTTCGATGCACCACAAGGAGGGGTGCAAGGTTCGCACAGAGGAGGATGCAGATTGGAAGTGTCACTCATCGGCTGCACGATGTTTCCTGTGGTTTGAAAGACTTTTTTACTTAAAAAGCATGTTTCATTTCAGTGGTGTAACTTAGTTTCTTTATGGGATTTTTTTCCTTTTGTTATTACTGTGGGATAGCTTTCTGTTGCAGAGAGATCTGCTGCGTTGGTAATTTGACAGCAGTGAATGTCATGCTTTTTTTTTTTGTCAGTTTATTTAGTTATACCTAATGAGGGCCAACTTAATTAGCATGGATGTTCTGTGCCACTGCATTCACGATAGCTTTGTCATCTTCATCCTGAAGCAATGAGATAACTGTACAAGGCTGGCCTGGGAGAGATCTTTCTGTTAGTAGAGGAGTCGTACCTGGTGTTTTGGGGAGCTCATAGAGCCATAGAAGAGCTGGATTGAAAGGGACCTTAAAGCCCACCCAGGTCCAACCCCCTGCTTTGGGCTGATCGCCCCCCAGCTGCCCAGGGTCCCAACCTGACCTTAATCACCTCCAGGGTTGTGTTCCTGGTTTCTCCATCCCAGAGAGCCTCAGAATTGAGCTCTGCCCTGGGTTGGCAAGGGAATAAGATTACAGGTGATGCTGCTGGGAAAAGCCAAGCACTAAGCATCCAAATCCAGTTTACAGGGCAATTTTAGAGGAAAATGTCTGTAGTTACACAGTTAAGAACCTCAACACACAGAGAAGTTGTGGGTACCCCATTCCTGGAGGTGCCTAAGGCCAAGTAGGATGGAGTCCTGGGCAGCCTGATCTGGTGGGGGGCAACCAGCCCACAACAGAGGTTGGAACTGGATGCTCTTCACTGTCCGTCCCAACCATTCTATGATTCTACTATACAGACTATTTTACCCCTTCAGCCATGGCTACAAGGATACAATACTACCTGGCTATCCTTCAGCAAGGAGCAATAATGGACCCATGCTTCCTGCTTAGCACTCAGCTTAGAGGACTGAGGACAGCTCATCTTGTTCCCTACAAACCCATGGTGCTGGACAGGAACAGAGGAGGAATCTGCAGGCAGTCTGAAAACCAGTAACAATTTGGGAGTGCTTCCCCTTCTGGGATGTGGCATCTGTCAGTACTTTGATCTGCAGCAGAGATGGACGCGAAGACCAACTAATTATGCTTCAGATAACATGTTTTGAAAAGTTAATATGAGCATCATTTAATTAAAATAAGGCACAAATGACCTTAATTATAAGAAGAAAAGGTGATAACATTTGCTTTAAAAATTAGTTGAAAAATGACTCATCCATCAGCTGACAGTGACAGAAATTCCTCTGGTGAAGGGAGATTTGAAGAGGACAGGTAGGTCCCTGCTATCTGAGCACACACAGGGGCAATGCAGCAGCTAACCACAGTAGACAGCAGGCATAGCAAGAGCCTTAATTAACTTTGTTGTCACCCTTCCATCACGAGCTGTTAATTAACTCTGGTGTTATCTATCCTGCTGTCCCTATCTGAACATAGTCCCCCAAAACTTGAGAAAAGAAAGGGGTAAAAGTAGGGAGAGCCCCACAAACAGCTGAGGAAGAGAAGGGTGCAAAACAGAGTGAGGTCTTAGGCAAAACCCCACAGGTGACAGTCCTTGGTGCAAACTCAGGGTAATGCTGATGAGCTACTGATTGATTGCTGTAATTAGTTCCATCTGAGCACGTAGCCCAGGTGCGGTGAGTTCAGGGCCCCACTAACTGGTTCCCCTGAACGTAATGTGGAATGATAAATGCGAGCCCAGAAGGAGAGCTGCCATTTTTACAGCCCCTGCTTTGGGAACTGTGGAAGGAGCAGAGGTAGGAGCTCTAGGTTTGGTTCTTGCTGTGTTGCTTTGCTTGCAGGTGAGGATGTTGGTGCTGTTGGACTGTCCTAGCTGCGCTGTTTGGGGGCAGTATACTGGGAGTCTCTGAGCAGTGCCAGCAGTGCATGGCTGAGTTCCTTACATTTTGTTGTGAATTATGAGAGCACAAAACCTGCAGTGGACTCAGAATCAGATCTCTGACATCTCTCCGTCTTGGGAGTTTCATTTATTTGGGGCAGCTTGTGTGCATTTAGTGGGGAGAACAATACAAAAACCATCCCCAAAACCCTCTAATTCCAGTATTACAAGCCCTGAAGAAATGCTAGCTCTATTTACTTGGAAAAACTTCCCCTGTGGTCTTTGTGCCTGTGGCATGTGTACGTACATAGCTGATTGGGCTGTGTGTTGTAGGGGGTGAGCATCCATGAGAACATGAGGCCCCCATCTGAGCCTCGCAGACACTGGCAACCCCCAAAATGGCTCCTCTAGGGGTAACACTGCAGGCAACCCCCACATCCCCAGGTGTGATGTTACCACCCACAAAGCAAAAAGTATAAAACATATCTTGTATGAAGGTGAAAAGAACCCCAAGCTGTTCTCTTATTTGGAGGAGCTGCCTCCCTCATGTGACCTCTGGGTGCTTGCTGATGGGTGCCTGCCACCAGGCAGTTTAGTCTGGACCCAAATCCCCTCTCTCTCTGCTTTTCTCTCCTGAAATGGGAGCTGTCATCGTGCTGCTCAATCTTTTAAGTCGGCTGGAATGCCACTTGTCTCTCTTGCTTAATAAAAGCAAAAAGTCTCTAGGAATCTGCATGAGGTCATGGCTGTATTTTAAGGTGTGCTCTCTCTCATTCTTTATTATTTGCCTGGTCTCCTTTGCTTTGGGATTCAGGTGGAGGCACATTGCCTATGAAATAGGGATAAAGCAAAGCCTGTAGGGCTGTGAATATGCCTGTCAGGCCATGGTGGTCCCCAAATGGGCACCCTTTGGTTGGAGGGAAGGAGTGATAGGCACTAGGGTGGCTGCAGGTCCCCCCTTGGGCAAGGGCACTGCTTGGGCTGGGTGATGGTGAGTACTGGCCTCTTGATGGGAAACACAATGGTGAAACTGTGTGAAATACTCATAAAGAATGAAAATCCACCAGCAGCTGCTGGGAAGCTCTTGGGGTGAACCAGCTGTGATGCGTCTGGAGAGAATGGGATTGATACGTTGGTTAGATGCAGGTGTGATCCTTCTGGAACAAATTCTTGCAGCTGGTGCTTGTACTTGTTGAGCTGTGGTCGTCTCTGAAGGCCACAAGGCATGATCCACTCAATGGGGGCATCTTTAAATGAATTGATCAAAGGGTGGTAGGGGAGAAGAAGCTGCCAACAGGAAGGGCAAGTTCCAGCGTAGGGTGATGCTGTGGAGGGGGGTGGTCAATCACCAGGGAGTGCTTGAAGTGTATGGCTCCAGTAATGACACTTGATCAGTATTTTGATGAGAATGAGAAGGGGGCCAGTCTGGCTCCAGACAATACCTGGTGACTTGAAGAGAGGAAGAACCACCAGTGCATGACACTGATCAGAGGTAACCTGGACAGGTCATTCAGAAAATCTGCTTGCTGGCCCAGGGAGGGCAGAGCAGCAAATCTTTGCTGTTAACCTGAAACTGCTCATCTTCAGCATTTTTGATCAAGCTGCAACTCACAGTACGTATGAGTGGGAAACCTGCTCATCAGTACATGTGTGTATCCATTGGTTTAATATGGGAATGTATGTATTCCTAAGGCAATCACAAAGGTGTATCAGTTTACTGCTGTTTTCAGTGACTGCAATGTCCTGAATGGGGAGGACCTGCTGAATAAGCAAACATTGCCTTTCTCTGTGAGGAGATTGCTGTGTTGTACTTGCAGAAATGACTTCTGCTGTCATGTTCTGCCTTCTAAAAGCGATGCAAGCAGTAAATAAACAGCAAAAGCATCTTGGACATGATGCCTGTTTGTAAGGAAAAATCAAATTTGCTATCATGTGCGTTGCTCAATTTATATTAATTTGATCTTTTTTCGGTGTGGCCTGATTAGTTCCACATGTTTTTCCCCAAGATTTGGCCAGTAAAGCTGCTGCTCTGAGTCATCAACTAGATAAATAATTGGCAGCTTCAAGGGCCCATCTCCTAAATCACTCTGCAGTTGCTTGTGGACCTCGTAGATCCCGGTTGCTCGTGCACTCAAGTCAGCTGTAAAGTCTAATCTGGGCTTTCATGGGCCCCAGGAGCCCAACAAACTGCTGATGGAGGAGCCTCACGTCAGCTTGTCTTGGCACAGCCACTGGAAGAACACAGCATGCTGTGGGGACTGCGTGGCTGGGGCTGGTATTTAGGGCTGGGAAGCCAGCTCCAATTGGGCACCTGGCAGCTGCACAAAGAGCTGGCACCAAGCCCTACGTGGTGGGACTTGCTGGTGGGGTTTGTGTTCCTCGGGTGACCTGCCCACGGGGATGGTGTGCTGGTACCTGCTATTGAATGGGATCATGTGACATTGGGTTGATCTCATGTCTTTGTCTTCTCCTAATGGAGCCACCAGTCCCAGGTTTGGCTGGCTGAGCTGCAGCCTTGCTTGGTGTCCTGCAGAACATAGTAGGTGTCAAGGAGCCCAGCTGCCTCCTCCTCCTCATCAGTGTTGCGATCAGTGTGTATAAGATGGGTGTGAACCTGTTCTTCATGTGTGTCCATATGGTTTCTGAGAAAGACTTGGTTCCATCTGCTAATTCCCTCTACTTGAACATGAGAGGTGCTGACCATCAGCTCTCTGTCCCAGCTGGTCATTTATGGCTTGGGTTATTTTTCAGGTGTGCCATGTGGGATTTATGGAAATCAGATCCAAGATGTAATGCCATCATGGTAGAGTCCTGAGAGTGCAAAGGGAGCTGAATGAGGTGCTCCCCTCCTTGTTTTTGGGTTTGGATGGTACCAAAAGCAGGGATAGTTCAGCAGTGGTCTCTGAGCTCGAGGGAAGATAGTGTAAATCTGAAATATCATCTTCAGAGCTGGTTCCAGGCATCTCAGCAGGGAGGCACAGCTTCTGCTGGCTGAAACAACAAAGCAGCCCAAGTGCTTTTTGCTTGATGTCCTGGCCCTTGGCCTGTGTTAGGTGTGCTCAGATCATGTGTGATGCCTCAGAAAGATGGGCACCTTCCCACAGGGACTAATCCTGTCTGGCATGGTTCTGTTGCCTTCTGCCCTCTCTGTGCTCCCCTGTTTGCCCAGGGAGAGAGCTGTTGGTGAGCAGAGCGGTTTTGCTGCTTGAGAAGAAGCAGAGGGTTGGAAGATGCCTTTTGTTGAGTCACTGCAACTGGACAAGACGAATTATGTTTTGAAGTCTGACTTAACGTTTTAAAGTGTATTGAATGTTTTGTACCATTATAAAGTTTCAGGAGCCCCAATTGCAGATTTTTTTTTAATTTATTTGCTGAGATTTGAGAACTTTTCTCGTAGAAAATTCACCATTCAATTTACTGCATGCATTTTTTTTTTTTTTAACGTGAAGTGGAAACAAGCATCTGAAATCATTCCTCTCCTCCTGACAGCAACATCTGTAAAACCTTAACACTGGGAGGAGGCAGGAACCAAGAGATTTATAACCCCCCGCTGAAATATTGGAACGACCTTATTTCCCAGCAATTAGCTCTGCTCAAAACATTTTTGTTTCCTATTAGAAGCAATCGACTAACATTTACATTCATGTGTTTAATAGCTGTTGGCCATCTCGGGATTCCAGCAGGCAGGAGGGAGGGATGTGGGCTCTGAACTGCAAACTGTTTGCGTTGCATCGTTTGTTGTGTTTGTTGATAGTGGTGAAAACATGCAGTGTGCTACGCTCGAGGATGGGGATGACATTGTTTGGGAAATAGAAGGGGTCTGGTCTTTGGCCAAATTTTTTCTATGACTCCAATGTATCAAGATGAGCTCCAGTGAGTTTGCTGGAGAGTGAATTTTGGTTCTGCTGAAACTTGTAAGGAGAAGTGGAGTGCACTTGCATATAAGATGCTGTAGCAATGAGAAGGGGTTCTGCTGGAAAAGTGGTGATGGGGGGGTGTCCATTGACAGATGGAAGATGTGCGTCCAGCCCAGTGCCTGGCAGATTATTGCCTGTGAGCTTCAAGAATAATTTAACTTAAAAATTAGGAGCGGATGGATCCCATTTTAGGCTATTGATAGCACGATGTCGTGGGGTGAAACTGAGAGCTGAGTTGCAGTGTGAGGGGAAATGAATGCATTCATAGCCTGGGTGGGAAGCTGCAGCAAATGTTGTGACTTTTGTTTTGGAGGAGGAGAAAGGAATGCCCGCTTGCTCCTTGGCTTTGAGAGCAGGGAGATGAATGCTGTATCGAAATAGGGTCCTGAGTGGGTCTGAAAAAGATGAATGGTTTAATTGTTGGAAAAACACTGTTCTAGGAATGTTGAAACCAAGTTGAATTTGAAATACCGTGGATGTTTGAGGACAGTGTCTTGTTTCTTTGTTTGGAAATGATTGATTTGCTTTAAAATTTGAGGGGAAGGATGGTCTTGGATATTATTAACCTGCTGTGGAATGTTCCTGTGATGGGCAGTGTGGAGGAGAAGCTGCCTGGAGAAAGGCTGTAACCTTGTGCATGAGGGATTGTCACCCTTGGTGTTTGATAGGATGGTGTTGTTTCTTTCTGGGAGATATCACTTGGAAAGTTTTGCTCCAGGATGGATAGCAGATGGTGTCAGCTCAGCTTTTTTTTTTTTTGTTTTTAAGTACATAGATGATTCACTTGATTGGCTGGATTAAAACAACAAACAAACTGAAACCATTCCTGGCCCAGCTGCTTCCAGCTATGCTGCAGTTGGCCATCCCTTATGCTGCGCAGTTGTAACTTCTATCAGGCTGTGCAGTTGGCTGAATAACCAGTGCTGCAGGATAAAAACTTCTGGGGATGCAGCAGGAAACATGGAGCTGCAGGCAATTTCTTAATATGATTTTATTTTGG